TGGATTTCGGTCAAAATTAAAAGGTCTACATAGACACCCACGATTCATGTAGACCACAAGCAAATATGGAAGAGTATATATTATAGAAATTTTGTATCCATGAACTTATGATGCGATATACACAATGCTCGGCCACTCGGAAGTAAACTTTTATAAGGTTCGGTGATGGGCGGAGTGAAAACGTCTATTTTTAGCAGCCAAATACAGCCGGATTGATCCACACAGAGATCGAGCCAATTTACGCTTATCTAACAACATGATCAGCATTTATATCACGTAGCTGTTGAAGAGGATAAGATATTCCTTCAAGCACAGAACAATGACAGGAGATAAGTATCATTGCTATTACTTGGTTGTCTATTAATGGTAACATCTAGATAGGTTCAGTATCTTAATACATAATGGGTGTATTACATTACCACTACGGTGGCGAAACGCTTGATAATCACCAAAGCATGTTATCAGCGATACGCTCCCACGATCGCTCTCGTATTTTCCCTGTGCATTCACTAACGCTGAGAAAAACAAAAAAAATTGCTTGTTTTCAAATTTCTCCTGCTCGCCATTAAATGGCTAGAGAACTTAACATGGGAGATTTACGTAATATACGAAGCGGAATATGAAAATGAAGGGCTCAGGAAGGAAGGTGTTATAAAGACAGGAGCGTGAAAGGTGTCCTCCAGTCTGACCCTATAGTGACAGAAGATGACAAAATACGTTCACCGGACATTGAAAGTATCACGTTACAACGATGTGATGACATGATGACAGATTGTTCGCTGTAATAATGCGACGCAGCCGAATATAGGTACACATCGTCTGGTACCCTCGGAGAAATATAGGCTAATATTTATTTTATAGTGAGTTACTAGCTACTGAAAAAATCCAAGCGAATCGCTTCAGATATGCTTGCACCTATAAATTATTTAAACCGTCCCGAACAAACTCAGATAGCATCAGAGTTAACAAGCTTGCATTATGGCTATCGATACGGTGGTGACCTTGCAAAGGACAATTGATGGGCAGGATGCGTCCGCGCTCTTCTCGAGACGCTATAAAACATGACAGCGCCTCACCAAGCTTACCATTGCACTAGCACATCGCGGTGGAATCATCGATGTATAGAATAGTTCTGCTTCGACTGATTACGTCGCATACTATTTATAGCGCCAACGTCATGACGATTGCAGCGTAGTCAGGCGATTACTGCTGGCGCTGATAAGCTTCGAATTAAAGCGCTGTAAAAAACACACGTCGAAAAAACCGACCTTACAAGAATCGGTGGCTATTGTCATGTAGCGTTAGTACTGGGAGCGTACTGCCCTCGGCTGTGAAGAATACTGATACGGGATGTGCGCAAGCGCGAGCATGGAGGCCACCGCACACAGTGCGAATATCACGCAAAAGTTTCCCTAATGTGTAGCATGTATAATTTCGCGTATACGCACACGAGCGAGCGGAAACATTATTACAAATAGAGCACATGTGAACATGACAGTGGCTGATACATAAATAATACATGATAAAACCCAAAGGTATACATTTATGCACTTTAGATTATCTTTTTTCATATAGATATTTGTTACACACACTCATACATGTTTACTTGTTATACATAATATATATATCTATATATATATCTATATATATATCTATCTATATATATATATATATATATATATATATATACACACATATATATAGTAGTAGTAGTACGTAGTACGTAGTAGTAGT